GTGGGAAGGAAGGGGAAAATGAGGAGCTGATGCCAACGTTCAAGTAGAAAGCAAATGTTTTGAGAATGATGATGGCAACAAATGTACAAATGTGCTTGACACAATGGATGTGTGTGTGGATTGTGTACAAGCCCCCAATAAAATGATTTTTTAAATGGAAAAAAAATAACCTATGGAACAATTCCATCATCTTTTAGTTCTATTTCCCAAAACCTTTTTGAAGCTCCCTCATGTGTGTGTGTGTGTGTGTGTGTAAAATCCACATATCTTAGGTAGTAGAGGTTTAAGAAAGCGTAAAATTGTTTTCTTGCTTTATGTTTTGTAGTGTTTTGTTGTATATATAAAATATATTATTAAATGTTTATCCAGCAGTGAAATTCTTAGTATAAATCTCTGTCATGGAAGCAAATAGCCCTGCAAGCGTGAGTAGACCTTTATTTTTTTAAATGACATAAGTGTATTGTTTGTCTCATTTTTGTATTACTTTTGATTTTTTATAAAATATTTTTACTAAATAGTCAAAGATGATTTAATAAAAGCATTTTTAATGCCAGCAACCTTAGTTGTATCAAAGGTAAAGCCTCATGGGCATTTTTAGCTTTTCCAGGTTTTCTTTATGCCAATTAAGGTTGATTCATCTACTGGAGGGCCTAGAATATTATACACTGTGCGGCACGTTGTTTGACTGATTGTCAAATTTCAGATAGATGCTGGCTGATCTTTTAGGCTGTTTGGCTGAATAACCACAGCAGTTGTCATTGTGAGTCTTACTCATATGTCTACACAAACTTAGACTTTAGACATGATCTTAAAATATTTAGAAAGTAGCTAGGGGCAGGGGAGAGAAATGTTTCTCTTATTTTGTGATAGCTAAGTCTGCAGAGTAAATGCTAAAACACTTTCACAAACATTAGCAAGAGCATACAGAATATTTTTAGAGTCAATGGTTGTATTGTTGGCCTGCGTTAGTAGACATAGTGGGGAGTTGAAATGAAGCTCTGCCCAGCCCTTTACAGTCTTTCTCCACCCACCCAATGATTGGTAAGATCAGCAGGAACTCGGACTTCTCATGACACAACATTGCTGTGTTTCAGGATAGGATAGCATAGGACAGGATCGGATAGTGAAACTTTCTAAACAGAATTGATAAAGCGATTTGCAATAATTGCAATTTGGTAGGCTGTTACATTCATTTTGATATTACTCCTTATCAAGAGCACATTAGCATAGATTCAGGTTTGGTTGTCGCAAATTACAGCCTTCTCTCCATTCCCCATCCCACCTCCAGCTCCAGCTCCACCTCCTCCTCCACCTCCTGTAGATAGGAAGCTCCAGGCTCCCAGGATGTCCAAGAGGAGAGTCTTGTGGGCAAACTCCTCTCTCACCCACTGGCCAGACCGGAAGCCTTTCTCAAGAACAGACCCAAATCCACCCAGAGCATAAGTTCGGAGATGAAAAGCCCTGAGTGGCTTTGATTTAGATATTTTCCCCAAATAAGTAGACTTTGGGTCAGAGATGACTCAGGCTCAGGACTCAGAAGGTCTCATTTTCAGAACCCTGTTTACCTCAAGAAAACCAGGGAATCTGAGGAGTGGTGGGCAACTTATAACACATATATTATCCAAACAATCAAACATGTATGTTTTAATGCATGCTTTGAACACTTATGTTCAAATATCTCAGAATTGCCATATCTGACTGCCTTGAAACACATGTCTGTTTACTGCACAATAAGAAGAGTCCGAGGCAAGTTATTAGAGGAACTATCGAGTCACAGTTTTCTAGAAGAGGGAGTGCCTAGGTGTTCATTCAGTCATGTATCAATTATGGCTCCCTTAAAAAGTACAAACTCTGGTTCAGAAAAGCTTTAGATATATATATTTAAATTTTGGCCACTTCAATTTTAGCCACTCCAACTGACTTAATTGTGGATGGTTTGGATCAATTTTTTCTTTTAAAAAAATCATTTTATTGGAGGCTCATATAATTCATCACAATCCATCCATCCATCCATTGTGTAAAGCACAGTTGTACATTCATTGCCCTCATCATTCTCAAAACATTTGCTCTCCACTTAAGCCCTTGGCATCAGCTCCTCATTCCCCCCCTCCCTCCCCACTCCCTTCTCCCTCATGAACCCTCAATAATTTACAAATTATTATTTTGTCATATCTTACACTGTCCGACATCTCCCCTCACCCATCCTTCTGCTGTCCGTCCCCCAGGGAGGAGGTTATATGTAGATCCTTGTAATCGGTTCTCCTTTTCTACCCCACCCTCCCTCCACCCTCCTGGTATCATCACTTTCAGCACTGGTCCTGAAGGGATCATCCGTCCTGGATTCTCTGTGTTTCCAGTTCCTATCTGTACCAGTGTACATCCTCTGGTCTAGCTGGATTTGCAAGGCAAAATTGGGATCATGCTAGTGGTGGGGGGTTGGGGGGAAGCATTTAGGAACCAGAGGAAAGTTGTATGTTTCATCGTTGGTACACTACACCTTGACTGGCTCATCTCCTCCCTGTGACCCTTCCCTAAGGGGATGTCCACTTGCCTACAGATGGGTTTGGGTCCCCACTCTGCACTCCCCCCTCATTCACAATGATAGGATTTTTTGTTCCTTGATGCCTAATACCTGATCCATTCAACATCTCGTGATCACACAAGCTGCTGTGCTTCTTCCATGTGGGCTTTGTTGCTTCTGAGCTAGATGGCTGCTTGTTTACCTTCAAGCCTTTAAGACCCCAGACATTATATCTTTTGATAGCCAGGCACCATCAGCGTTCTTCACCACATTTGCTTATGCACCCGCTTTGTCTTCGGTGATCTTGTCGGGAAAGTGAGCATCATGGAATGCCAGTTTAATAGAACAAAGTATTCTTGCATTGAGTGGAGGCCCAATGTCCATCTGCTACCTTAATTCTAAACCTATAATATATGCACATAGATCTATTTCCCCATCATCATATAAAAATATATTTACATATGTGCATGCCTTTATTTAGACCTCTATAAATGCCCTTTGCCTCCTAGCTCTTTTCTCTATTTCATTTGACTTTCCTCTTGTCCCACTATGATGCTCAGCCTTCATTTGGGTTTCAATAATTCCTCTCGGTTACATTGCCCTTGATTATGCCCTGCCAGGCCTCCTACACCCTCTTCACCACTGATTTGGATCACTTGTTGTTCCCTTGTCCCTGGGTTTGTTAACAGGCTTGGATCAATTTCTACTGCACTCTGTTCCAGAACTTTATTGCCACACAGACCCTTGGGGATGATACTGAATATAAAAACCAACTGATAAAATCGCAGCTCCCTTCTAGAATTTAAACTAGAAGGTAATGTCTCCTTTTTTCTGGATCAGATGAGCTCTCTTCGTTTCTCTCAGTGCCCTCATGCCCCACCACGTGCTTCTGGTCTCCTGGTGAGGAGGGCCCACTGGTCCTTCTCCACCATCAAAGCTTGGCTGTTTAGGTCCCATGTACTTAGGATTGAGCTCATGAATAATACTAAGTGACTTTGTTGCTCTCTTTGTAGTACTTCAAACTCAACAGCTACCCCTAATGCCTCCCAGTGATTAATATGAGGAGTTTCACGTTATTGAGTCTTGTAAGAATGAGTGTCCCTAAGCCTCCACGCATAGAGCTGGCCAACTGCTTAAACTCTGTTGCCGAAGAATCGTTTTGACCCATAGTGACCCCAGAGGGCAGAGTGCAACTGCCCATCAGGTTGTCAAGCTGTACATTTTTATGGAAGAGCACGGCGGCAGCGCCTTTTCCTGACAGTGGGTTTGAGCTGCTGACCTTTTGCTTGGCATCCAAGTGCTCAACCCCTATACCACTAGGGCTCCTTGGAGAGTGATTAGACCCTCCCAAGACCAGCTATTACCGGAACCACTAGCTCTGGCAAGTCTTCCAGTTTTCGGCTCCTTTGTCTCCTGGGTTCCTCTGCAGATGTGTGAAGATTTAAATGTCTTCTGCCAGATTCTCTTTGGGCTATCCCTGGAAAGAAAGGGTTTGCCTTCCTGACACCACCACTCCTTTTGGACTCTGGTTCTGGGCATTCTGATGCCAGCTGGCCAGGGGCCGAGAGTAACTTTCACAATGTTCCCTAGTCCTGGACAGTGAAAAAGAGCCTAGGCTGACCTGCAACCGGCCCGGCCGCCTGCCAACTGTGGCTCGGTCCAAGCTATAAAACTAAACCGGGACTTCCTCATCTAGAAAAGGCAGATCAAATACTTGCCTAGGAGAGATCTTGTAAAAATTAGTAATAAAGTATTTGTCATGTGCCATTGTTTGTGCTTAGGGAATTTGTGCAAGTCCCTAATAAGACCGGTTGTTGAGCTTTGTAGGGGCATCTTGATATAAGAAATCACAATGTTTCCAACTCAGTGTGAAAAGGGGGGAGAAAAGGTACGTCACTAAGAATAGATCTATATTTATTTTTACTTTATTTTCCTCTATATGTAGGGTTTAGTCAGCTGTTGAAATGTAAATGGACAGGGTCAGGGATTTAAAATGTCCAAGTATTCCTCTGTCTTCTAGTGATCTGTGAGAGATTTTTACCCTAGAAACCTAAATTATGTGACTTCTCTTGGGCACGTCCACCCCTCTCAGCAATGCTTCTGATTACTTCCTGTTTGTTTTCGTTTCGTCCCAAATCCTGACCCTGAATCTTAATTTCACTTTATTTTATGCCCCTTGACATATGAGTTTAGCGACGACACTCAGATGGACACTCAGCATTCCATCTTCGCACCAGACTCCGGTCTGACTCTCATTTTGGACCTGGTGCTTGGGACATGCCCTTTCTGGTCTAGCTGAAAGGGGTTTTGCAAGGATTAAGCGTGACTGAGAATTTGGGGCTTATCAAGATCTCATTTGGGAATGTGCAGGAGGCAGATATGGAAATAGATTCAATAAATCAACAGACTCCCTGGAAAGATCAAGGGGGAGGAAGATAGTCCATGACAATGAAGCCTCTGTGGCTCCATTTGGGTCATGTCTGGGCATCTACAGACTTACATCCAAACTTACAGGTAAAAATGGACCAAGTTTTTATTATTGGTATTTTCGAAAGCAGTAAAAAACAAAAACAAACAAACAAAAAACCCCCAAAAAGCACTTATACAGCACGTTATGACATATTTACGGCATCCTTAGGACCCAGCTCCTGCAGGCCGCCGGTGTGGACTGGAAGGGCTGGGGGCGGTGGAGGCAGGGGTGCTGCTCCACAGACAGGCAAGCAGGCGAGTGTTCTCTTAATGACTGCGGTCGTCACAATCACAATAATAGGAAGTAGAGAAACCCGCCTTGAGCCAGACGACCCTGCATCCGTCTGCAACTGGGGGAGTTCATCAGAATGTAAACACGAGAGTTCCTGACACTAGCATAGCAAACTACAAAAGTCGTTTTGGCCAGAACCACGTGGAAGCTACCCCACGATAGTGATCCTCACACTTTGTTTCTTTGCCACGTGATCCCTGTGGATCATCTCCCAGTCCTCTTCCTCCGCGTCCTGGTCGAAGGTCTCCGGGTACGCAGGCAACTTGTCCTTGGGGCACTCCTCATAGTAGCTCCGAACGTATTTCCCCACAGCCCACCCTTTGTACTCTTCCGGTGATTTGCACTCCAGGCCGTTATAGTGGACGTTGTAGTGGTGCTTCAGCCAGTAGTAGAGGTAGTGGATGTTGTAGTCACATCTCCACGGGTTATCTCGGAGCCACAAGAGTTTCAAGAAATACACGTCTTCCAGGACGCCGTAGTCAAAGTCTTGCAAACGGTTGTTGGATAAGTCTAGCTCTTCTAGATGCGTAAGCCCCGAGAAAGCAGCTAGAAGCAGAAAATAGTTATTAAACCAATGAGTGCTTTCAGTGCAACCGCATGGGGTATACACGTCTAAAGGCAACACTCCGACCTAACGGCTTTACTCAAAGTTTTTCCTTTGTTTAGATTGACTACAATATTTTCTTTGAAAATTCAGTTTTAACTTAGCTGAGAAAATGTGTTTTATGTTCACGTTCATCTTAAAAATCTCATGGATGGATTGTGTAAGAGTTGTATGAGCCCCCAATAAAATGATTTTTTAAAAGTCTCACTGGGAAGATGCCCCAAGAAAAAGGCAAAAGCTAGAGACAATGTTTCCAATGTAAGACATAATGAGCACATTTTAAAAAATGAAGAATGTGCCTCATGGAGATTTGCCAGCTCTCTGGGATAGATATCAGTAAACTCTGGAAATGCCCAGAAAACAGCTTTGTCCCAGTTTGGGGGTGGGACGTATATTCCTGTGGAGTCTAACAACACACAATTTATGCCAATGTTTTGAAACATCTGGATGTGTTTCAGCAAGTTATGGTAGCTATCAACTTTGGATCCATGTGTGTTGAATTCTGCTCAAGGACAGATGATTCAAACCCACATTCAAACAGATACAAGGGAACCACAGGAAGCCCTTTCTTCCTTCAAATGCAAAGAAATCTAAGCTTTGATGCTCCCTATCACTGGTGATGTGGCCCAAACAGATCCTCCAGAATTTATGTGTCAATACTGAATCACATCAAATATTTGGTTTGTACAGGCACCCAACATACAGTCACCCCCGACTTGCTCACCGAACGTTAATGTTGTGTACATTTGTCTGCACTTTGAAAGGAGCAGACCCACCCGTGCAGGCAGCAGATTCTTCATCACATATGCCTTACCAGCCACGTGTGCTGCTTTTAACTCACGGAGGAGGCACCATGTCTTTTCTTGCACTGACGTAAGACCCCGTGAGAACCATGGGCACCTGTTGTTCCAGTTTACCTACACAGTTGACTTAAAGACCACATTTAGGATCGGGTCTCATTTAGAACCCAGGGACTGCCTATATTTAAAATATGTTTCTGATTACTGTTTAAAAATACCCTGTTAGAGCACACAGTGGCCTTATATTGCATTTGGAAAATGTGTTCTCATATGAATATCATTAACAGTTTTCAAATAACTTTTCAAGATAAAACTCATACTTCCCTTTAAATGAGCATTTTATAAAAAAAATTGTGGGGCATATCACTGGCTTGAGGGTTGGGGCGCTAGTGGGTATGGCTAAAGGCCAGTATGAGTGTGATGGTTCTGATTAGACTTCTGAGTGTGTGTGTGTGTGTTGCTAAAACTCTGAGTCAATGGTCTTACAAATTACTTCCTTAAATCAAGGCAGCCTTTCAGATTGGAAGCATGTGTAAGCCTTCCTAGATTTTATTTTCAGAAACTTTAGAGTTGTTCCTTCAGCCATATGTAGCCTGGCATGTGGGAAAGCTAGTTTTCAATCCGTTCCTTAAAGGAGATAACCCCTCAGCAGGGTGTCCTCTGACCCTCTCTGCCACGATGTCTGGCATTTCACTCTGCTGTTACGTAAGCCTAGTAAAGACCGGTACTCTCATTGCATTTGTAAAACTAGCAACCTAAAGTGTTTGAGTCAGCCTACTTTGGGAGAGTGTTTCATCTCACAAACCCTGAAATGTAAAGGTCTTTTGTTTTCAACCCCCTTCAGGTCAGTTATGTTACTGTAGTTCAGTGCTGAGATGCTGTTTGTTCCAAATGAGGGCACGAAGCTAGCTGCTTGGCTTCTGGTAGGTGTCCACCGAGTCTTTGCGAGTGTCGAAAACGCTTTTGTGAGCCCTGGGGGTGTCGTGGTAAGCACTTGGCTACTAAGTGAAGGCCATTGGCTGTTTTTCAGGGGAAAGATTAATAGCCCTGAACCCCCAGGCGGCAGTTCTACCATTGTAGAGGGTAGCTAAGAGTCCCAATCGGCTCAACACCAGTAGGAGGGACTCATAACAGAGAGCACATTAGGTGTCAATGTGGAAAACACACAGATGTAAGACTAAAACATCTCCAGGAGATCTCAAGGATGGAAAATCACCGTGGAATCCTGTAACTTTGGGAAACTTATAAATGATGATGGAAAAACATCACCAGAAGTAAACAAACCATTGCAGGTGGTGGTGGTGGTGGTGGAGTGGCCACATGTGGGCTTGCTAACTGCTAAACTGCAAGCAGTTTGAAACCACCAGCCAGCTCCAAGGGAGAAAGATGAGGCTTTCTACTCCCGTAAAGAGTTAGTCTGAGTCTCGGAAACTCACTGGGACAGTTCTGCCCTGTCCCATAGAGGCTCTCTGAGTCATCAGTGCCTTGGCGGCAGTGAGTTTTTGTTTATTTAACCCCTCAAATTGTCTTCTCTAGTTCTTTTAATAGTTTTCTTCACATTGTTACAGTAATCCTCAGCCCTGGAGATCCAGTGGGTTTTCTTCATTTGTCAGGGTCATCTTTGCCAGAGGACCTACTGCTAAATGGAGAAGGGATTTGAAAGGTGGAAAAAAGACCTGTTTTTAAGCTGGCAGTAGATAAGTATGCCTAGTTCTGAGTTGAACATTTTAAAATTTAAATTTATGAAGCTGTATCAAATTTGCATTAGACAGATTGGGGCTTAATGAATGATAAAGAGAACATTGGATCTAAATGTACATCTAAAATTATTATACTTGTCATGCATTACTGATTGCTAGCTGCATATCTTTCCTCTCTTCAGCTGTTCAGAAAAAGTTTAACTCCTTGGGCTGATTGTCATGTATGAAATACTATATTTCTTAAAAGACACTTGTATCCTATATTTCATAAAACAGAATTTTGGTGCAGTGAGGAATATTTTCATCCATATGAGCAACATGACAGGAGCTAGGTTTCAGGGAATTGTATCTTTAGAAATTACTGGGGAAATCCAGATGAAAGAAAATGTCAGACTGAGTGGCAACGTGGCATTAAGCAAGAAAGAAGAGATGCTGGGTATGTAATTACCTAGATCCTCTAGTCATGAAACAATACTATTAAATCAAATATCTACTGTGGGAACTTGCAAAATCGAAAAGTTAGGATCCCGTTTAAGTTACCAGGTGAAATACACCGTGTATGTAAACTATTGTACTGTGATTTCATTGTCCCCAAAGGATCAATACACTGTGTGAGAAATGTCCCCAGTAGAAAACAACAACAACAACAACAACATCATTTTGGCGCAAAGTGCTCTTGAGTGATAAAGTTCTAAATTAAAACTTCATGTTTCATTTGAACTCATACTTTAAAAATCATTTACTAAAAAAACAAAAAACAAAAACAAAAAAAACTCCAAACACAAAAGCCCTAAGCTACGCTGGCAGTGTTGCCATCTTAAAACTCAGAGAACCTTGGTCACCTAGAGGGGCCCCGTCAGTGGAACTTACCAGGATCTATGAATTCGATGCCATTGCTGCTGAGATTTAATTTCTTTAGCTCGTGAACATCCTCAAATTCCTTGGGTCGGAGTTGGTGGATTTTATTGTATGATAAGTCAAGTTTAACAATGTATGGTGGGATACTCTTTGGAACTTTCTTCAAGTCTGGAAAAAATAATAAGGCCGGTGTTATCCTGCTCTTCTTTCACCCTTTTCTCCAGACTGGCACAACTGTGGGGTTGCAGAGTCAGCTCTTAAAGAGACAAGGGAAAGGGCTACTAAATCCAAAGAAGGAGCTTGGCGTGAACAAGGTTGTTATTCTTAGCTGCCCTTTAGTCACAGGGACCCTTTGTGCAAGGGAACTAAGCACTGTGTGGTCCTGCGCCACCCTTCTTAATGGCCACAGATTGGACTGCTGTCACTGGCTGATTTCTGGATTTACTAATTCCATTAGATCCCAGTGTACCAGAGACATCAAGCCTACAAAACAACCCAAGCTACAGCCAACGAGTCGATTCCAACACAGAGTAGAACTTCCCTGTAGGTTCCAAAGCTGTCACTTTTACTGGGCAGACTGCCCCATCTTTCTTTCATGGAGTGGTTGGTAGACTTGACCTTTTGGTGACATCTGAATGACGCACCAGTGTGCCATCGGGGTTCCTTGCATCAGGCGTAGAGGAGGGAGAACACTCTTTCAGAGCTGTTCAGAAACTTCCTAGCAATAGTGCTAAGGATCCACCAGTCCCACAGCTCCACTTGCTCTGAGGCACTAGATGAGGAGGTGGCTCAGTCCTCGAGACCCGTTCGAATCACCTGCAAAGCTCTGGACGGTGACATCTTTGCTGCTTTCACTTCCAAGAGGTCTTCTGCAGGTGATGTGCCCAATGCAGGGCTTTCTCACCTCCTGCTTCCATGGGCACAGCTACTGCATCCACGTACAAAGAAACCCCTGACAACTCAATATATCCTTTGTTTATGATGATGGTGCTTATTGGTCCGGTCTTGATTTAATTTTCCTTTACTTTATGCTGAGGACTAAAGATGACAGCCTTGGAGAATGTATGGGGCAGTTCTACTCTGCCTTACAAGGTTGCTGTGTGTTGGAATCCCCTTGGCAGCCGTGGCCTGTTCTGACTGGTGGCATCTGTGAACCCTGTGGGACAGTGGTTAGGTGTTCAGCTGCTGATTAGAAACCTTGGCAATTGAGTTTCCCAGCGGGTCCGTGGAAGAAAGATGTAGTAATCTGCTTCCATACAGGATGGCAGCATTGGAACTCATAGGGGCAGTGAGTCTCAATAGACTCAGTGCAAACAGCTTTTGTTGCACAATCATTCTATTCCTCTCCTCAGACTCCTTTCTATCTGCCCACAAATAAACTCACTTACCTGCTGTCCCAAATGGTTAAGCGCTTGGGTGCTAACCACAAGCTTGGTGGTTCAAACCCACCCAGGAGCTCTGCAGGAGAACAAAACACCTACCAGCTTCTAGAAAGACTGCAATCTAGGTCAGTTATGGGGCAGTTCTCCTCTGTTCCATAGGGTTGCTGACTCAGAATACCTCGAGGACACCACCAGCACCACCAACATATGTTCATTCTAAAAAGCAAAATATTCCTGACTTTGATGACCCCTAAATGATTACCTTATTTCTTCTCTCCTGGAATGCAAACCTTAAAGAAAGACTAGATCGTACACGCTGCCCCTCTTTCCACTCTGTCCACTTATGCTCTGAATTCTTGGGACTTAGTGTATACTCCATCACTCTCTGGCTCTTCCTGGGGACAGCAGTAACTGAATTCCTTGGTGGCAATAACAATCAGAATGCAGTTACTATATGGAGGCAGGAAATACATACCCATGGATGAGGAGTCCATGTCACAGATGAATGGGGATCAAAATCTGCGATTCAATGATAGCTAACAACAACAACAACAACAAATACTTTACTGCTACATTTCTTTAAATCATATACAAAATTTTAAAATGTCAAGTGTGTTTATTTTACATTTTATTGTAATATTATCATTTCCTCATAATCTTTAGCAAAATATTCTAAAACGATTTTATTCAGTCTTAATTAGAGCAAGTAAAGTCCATGAAGAAAAATAAAAGTCCTTATGGGAAAAAAAAACATCAATCATATGTCAGTTTGCTGGACCATCATGGCTTCTATGTTGCTATGATGCTATGCCAATAGTATTTCAAATGCCAACAGGCTCACCCAGGGTGGATGGGTTTTCATGGAGCATCCCGACTAAGACAGACTAGGAAGAAGGTGCTGGCAGTCTATTTCTGAAAACAGACGAACAAACCTGTGCACTGAAAACCTACGAAGAGCAGTGAACGCTGCCAGAGAGGGCGCCACGCAGGCTGGAAAGTATTCAAAATAGAACCAGGAAGTGCTGCTTCCTCAAAATAGATTTGACCTTAATGATGTAGATTGAATAAAGCTTTTGCGACCTTCATTTGTGATGTGCATGACTCAAAGTGAGAAGAAACATTGATCATTGGAACCTGGGATGTTTGAAGCATGAATCTAGGACAACTGAAAGTCATCCACGTTAAATGGAACACATAAAGAACAATACCCTAGGCATTCCATCCAATCTACACCCACTGTCATGGGATCAATTCCTACTCATAGTGACCCTATGCACTCATCTTTCTCCTTCAGACTAACTGTTGGGTTTTAACTGCCATCCTGGTAGTGAGCAGTCTAACACCTAACCCATAGTACCCAAATGGCCATTTTGTGTCAGACAATCACGGTCTACTATACTTAAAATGACAAATTTAAGAGGAACGTCATCACATTCTTGGTCAAAAAGAACATTTCAGGACACCATCCTGAAGTATAATGCTGTCAGAAATATGGTATGCATACAAGGATGATCATCAATACTACTATTATTGAAATTGATGCACCAGCCACTCAAGCCCCAAATGAAGAAATTGAAGATTCCTACCAACCTCTGCAGTTTGAAAGTGATCAAACATGAAACCAAGATGCAATGAAAATTACAGGTCACTGAAATTCAAAAGTTGGAGACAAAAAAGAACAGGCCTTGAGTTGCATTATCGAAAAAACTCTATGGACAATATATTGAACACAGGAAGTATTAGAAGGAAGATGGAAGGAATACACAGTCATTGTGTCAAGAAGAATTTGGTCAATACTAACCATTGTTGGAGGTAGCATATGATCTAGAACGAATGGTATTAAAGGAAGAAGTTTAAACTACCCTGAAGGCATTGGCAAAATCCAAAGCTCCTAGAATGTGAGGAATACCAACTGAAATGTTTCAATGAAGGGATGCAGTGCTGAAGTTGTTGCCTTGTTAATGACAAGAAATTTGGCAGATAGGTATTTGGCCAAACAACTGGAAAAGATCTGTATTTGTGCTCATTCCAAAAGAAGGTGATCCAATGTAGAAATTATTGAACAATATCATTGTTACATGCAAATACAATTTTGCTGCATATAATTTAAGAATTGGATCAATAGGAAACTGCTAAAATTTTAAGGCAGACACAGAAGAGGACATGGAATAAGGAATATTATTGTTGATGTCAACTGGATTGTAACTGAAACAGGGAATACCAGAAAGATGTTTACTTGTGTTTTATTGACTATACAAAGGCATTCGACCATGTGAATCATAACAAACCGTAGATTACAGTGTGAAGAATGAGAATTTCAGAACACTTCATTGTGTTCACAAGGAACCGGTACATAGACCAAGAGGCAGTCTTCAAACAGACTATATGGTTTAAAATAAGGACAGGTGTACTTCAGGATTGTCTCCTTTTACTATACTTATTCAATTTGTTTGCTGATTAAAACCCCCTGAAGCTGGTCTATACGAAGAAGTTTTCGGCATCACCATTAGAGGAAGACCCATTAGCAACCTGAGATAAGTAGATTTTACAACCTTGCTTGCTGAAGTCTTTACCAAAGAAGATCAAGACTACAGCCTTCAGTATAGATCATACCTCAACAGAAAACAAAATTCCTTACAACCAGACCAATGTATGATGATAATGAAGGAACTATTGATGGTATCAAGGATTTCGTCTAATGTGGATCCACAATCAATGTCCATGGTAGCAGAAGTCAAGAATACAAATGCTATATTATATTGGCCAAATCTGTTGCAAAAGACCTTTTTACCGTGTTAAAGAGCAAAGATGTCACTCTGAGCACTAACATGCACCTGACTCAAGCCATCCTATTTCCAATCATTGCTGTACACATGCAAACGCTGGGCGATGACAAAGGAAGACCGAAGACGGATCGTTGCCTTTTAATTGTGATATTTTCAAAGACTAGCAAGTCTGTCTTTGAAGACATAGAACTAGAATGTTCCTAAGAATGTTCCTCAGAAGTTTGGGATAACTTCTTGGACATGTTAGCAGGAGGGAGCAGTCTGTGGAGAAGGACATTGTTGGGTAAAGCAGAGAGTCAGCGAGGAAGAGGAAGAGACCCTAAGCTGGAACATAGCAACAACAGTGAGGGTGGTGCAGGACCCGGAAGTGTCTCGGTCTCCTGTACTTGGAACAGACCAGATGACACTGAACCACAATAAGAAAGAAAACCATACATAAAAATAAAATGTCTAGACAAACTGAAAATTGAGAAAAAAGCACGACTCAATGCACTTCTGATGCGATAGGAACTCTCTGAACTGGAGACAGTAAAATAAATCCATGAAAGGTGATACACATTTCTCCATAATGCTCCCTTTGGCACAAAATCATTGAATTTCTGATAATCTATTCTAAGTTTTTTAAAAATTCAGATACTTATTATTATTATTTATTATTCTTAGCTACAATCATAAAGATTCAAGTATTCTTCTTTCCTCCTTTTATAGTTAAGAATCCATTTTCTTTAATGGAATGGCATTGTCAGTTTGTTCACTCTCTTTGAATACTATTACATTAGCTTTCCTTCTTGATGGGATCTTGGTATCTCACTATCTATGCGCAGGGACTGTTCTATAAATGCTAATAATATTAAGTGACAAGAAGCCTATGAACTAGGAGCCATTGTAACTCTCATTTCACAGGTGAGGGCAACTCAGGCACAGAGGGGTTAGTTAACTTGGTTACAGAGCTGATTTAAGTCTAGAATTTGCTTCTAATCATTGTGCGCAGATGCCTTTC